AGTGATAGGAGTGATAGTAGTGATAGTAGTGATAGGAGTGATAGTAGTGATAGGAGTGATAGGAGTGATAGTAGTGATAGTAGTGATAGTAGTGATAGGAGTGATAGGAGTGATAGGAGTGATAGTAGTGATAGGAGTGATAGGAGTGATAGGAGTGATAGTAGTGATAGGAGTGATAGGAGTGATAGGAGTGATAGGAGTGATAGGAGTGATATGAGTGATATGAGTGATAGGAGTGATAGGAGTGATAGGAGTGATATGAGTGATATGAGTGATATGAGTGATAGGAGTGATAGGAGTGATAGGAGTGATAGGAGTGATAGTAGTGATAGGAGTGATAGTAGTGATAGTAGTGATAGGAGTGATAGGAGTGATAGGAGTGATAGGAGTGATAGGAGTGATAGTAGTGATAGGAGTGATAGTAGTGATAGTAGTGATAGGAGTGATAGGAGTGATAGTAGTGATAGGAGTGATAGTAGTGATAGGAGTGATAGGAGTGATAGGAGTGATATGAGTGATATGAGTGATAGTAGTGATAGGAGTGATAGGAGTGATAGGAGTGATAGTAGTGATAGGAGTGATAGGAGTGATAGGAGTGATAGGAGTGATAGTAGTGATAGTAGTGATAGTAGTGATAGTAGTGATAGTAGTGATAGGAGTGATAGGAGTGATAGTAGTGATAGGAGTGATAGGAGTGATATGAGTGATATGAGTGATATGAGTGATAGTAGTGATAGTAGTGATAGTAGTGATAGGAGTGATAGGAGTGATAGTAGTGATAGGAGTGATAGGAGTGATAGGAGTGATAGGAGTGATAGGAGTGATAGTAGTGATAGGAGTGATAGGAGTGATAGGAGTGATAGTAGTGATAGGAGTGATAGGAGTGATAGGAGTGATAGGAGTGATAGTAGTGATAGGAGTGATAGGAGTGATAGTAGTGATAGGAGTGATAGGAGTGATAGGAGTGATAGTAGTGATAGGAGTGATAGTAGTGATAGGAGTGATAGGAGTGATAGGAGTGATAGGAGTGATAGGAGTGATATGAGTGATATGAGTGATATGAGTGATATGAGTGATATGAGTGATAGGAGTGATAGGAGTGATAGGAGTGATAGTAGTGATAGTAGTGATAGGAGTGATAGGAGTGATAGGAGTGATAGTAGTGATAGTAGTGATAGTAGTGATAGGAGTGATAGGAGTGATAGTAGTGATAGGAGTGATAGTAGTGATAGGAGTGATAGTAGTGATATGAGTGATAGTAGTGATAGTAGTGATAGTAGTGATAGGAGTGATAGGAGTGATAGTAGTGATAGGAGTGATAGTAGTGATAGGAGTGATAGTAGTGATAGGAGTGATAGTAGTGATAGGAGTGATAGTAGTGATATGAGTGATAGTAGTGATAGTAGTGATAGTAGTGATAGGAGTGATAGGAGTGATAGTAGTGATAGGAGTGATAGTAGTGATAGGAGTGATAGGAGTGATAGGAGTGATAGTAGTGATAGGAGTGATATGAGTGATATGAGTGATAGTAGTGATAGGAGTGATAGGAGTGATAGTAGTGATAGTAGTGATATGAGTGATATGAGTGATAGGAGTGATAGGAGTGATAGGAGTGATAGGAGTGATAGGAGTGATAGTAGTGATAGGAGTGATAGTAGTGATAGGAGTGATAGTAGTGATAGGAGTGATAGTAGTGATAGGAGTGATATGAGTGATATGAGTGATAGTAGTGATAGGAGTGATAGGAGTGATAGGAGTGATAGTAGTGATAGGAGTGATAGGAGTGATAGTAGTGATAGGAGTGATAGGAGTGATAGTAGTGATAGTAGTGATAGGAGTGATAGAGTGATAGTAGTGATAGGAGTGATAGTGATAAGGAGTGATAGGATGATAGTGATAGGATTGTGATAGAGTGATATATGATGAGTGATAGGAGTGATAGTAGTGATAGTAGTGATAGATAGTGAGGGTTAGGAGGATAGGAGTGATAGTAGTGATAGAGTGATAGTAGTGATAGGAGTGATAGGAGTGATTGAGTAGGAGTGATAGAGTGATAGAGTGATAGAGTGATAGAGTGATGATGATAGATGATAGTGAGTGATAGGAGTGATAGTGGGATATGAGTGATAGAGTGATAGGAGTGATAGAGTGATAGGAGTGATAGATAGTGATAGTAGTGATAGGAGTGATAGGGTGATAGGAGTGATAGATGATAGAGATTGGTTGATAGGAGTGATAGTAGGATAGTAGTGAGTGATGAGGAGTGATAGGATATGTGATAGTAGTGATAGGAGTGATGGAGTGATAGTAGTGATAGGAGTGATAGGTAGTGATAGGAGTGATAGAGTGAGAGTGAGTGGTGATAGGATGATATGATAGAGGGTGTAGTGATAGGAGTGATAGTAGTGATATTTGAGGAGTGTATGAGTGATAGTAGTGATAGTGTGATAGTAGTGATAGGAGATAGGATGATAGGAGTGATAGTAGTGATAGGATAGTG